CAAGAAATCCGGGCTCACATACCCCTTCCCCTCGCCTGGGCCCCTGGCCAATGACCTGCTTACTCCCAGCGTCGCCTCTTACAGTGTCTTTCTCCCTAACCTCTGAACAGGCCACCCTCATTTCCCTGTCAGGGCCTCTGCCCGGCTGCCCCCTCCCTCTGGAATGCTCGTCCCAGGTCTGGCCCTTGCCCATCATTTGGGATGAGCTCATGTAGACTGCTCTGCTCCCCTAACTAAAGTCGGTCCTCCCCTCGCAGCCTCCCCTCCAGCCCATCTCTGTTACATCATGCATTTTTATTTTCCTTTTCATTTGATGTGTTGATTATCTGTCTCCTGTGAGCCCCGTAAGCCAGGGGCCATGACTGCCTCATTCACCACCGTATCCCTGGCACCTGGAGCCATTCCTGGGCCAGCACGGGCTGCTCAAAAAGTACTTAATCACCACCTCTGAGAGCCCAGTAACTTCGAGCAGACTGGGCTTGGTACAGCACACTGACACTTCCTGGGGTCACCAACGGCCAGTGTCAACACCTCAGACCACAGGGCTGCGACTGAGTTCCCGGGGTGGCCGCCAAGGCCCGTCAGTGCTGAGGAGAAGCCCTGAGCCTCCCTCACCCCCGGCCTCCTTCTCTGCAGGGCGGCCCCTCCCTCCAGGAGTTGGGCTCCGGCCCCAGAGTCAGGCCGCCCACGCCCCAGAGCCCTAGGGAGGAGGGCACCCTTCTCCCCTTCTTGGCCTCACCACCCAGCCAGGCAAGCCTTGCCATTTCCCCATCTATAAGACAGGGACAAAGAATGCTTTGTCACCCCACCTACTTCTCACGGTGTTGTGAAACTACTGTTTGTTTGGAAAACACTCTGAGCAACTTGGGTAAAGGTGCCTGTGGTTCAGATGACATTGCTGTATTCGGTCCAGGCCCGGGGCCCTCCAACTCATCATCCGGTCACCGCCTTGCCTGCCTGAGGGATGGGAGGTGCGCAGCCTCTCCTGTGTCACCAGGCCTGTGTCACCAAGCCTACTGGCCACACTGTGGTCCCAGAATAAGCCCAGGAGGTACGTGTGCATTCCTGGGGCCGCCTGACCCACTGATTTCAGCAGAATATGAGCTCTCCGTGGGCCTGGACATTGGCCACTGAGTGCCCAGCCTGCCCTGTTGTCAGGAAGGAGAGCCAAGGGTTACCTGGGGATAACCTGCCCGAGCTCTGGCCACGTGGGGTGGGGCCGAGTCCTCGGTACCAGCCTCTCAGGCCAGGAGCCAGGAACAGAGGAACTCAGTCTTGGCCCCTGGCCTGGGGAGGACAGATCGCAGCCTGCAGGCACTCAGGTGCCCCTCATCGGCTGCAGATACAGTGGCCACCACGTTGCCATGACAACCATACTTGGCAACAATCTCTCTGCCCCCCGCCCCCACGGAGGGGACGACCCCCAGCACTGACCAGGCATTTCCCGGAGCAGCTTGAGGTTGATGATGGAGAAAGGCCAAGGGCTGGACAGTATGAGGGGACAAGGAACACACCTGCCGTTCAGCAAACAGTCTGGCCTTCACTTCCGACTGGATGTTGGACTCAGCGCCCCCAGATCTCTCTCCCTGCAGCCTCCACCCAGGGGCTGCTGCTTCCCTAAAGCGGGTGGCAAGGCGTTTAGCAGACGGTGAACAACAGACAGCATGTACATTTAATTATAACTCTCCCGGATAGGAAGGGCTGGCTATATACAGTATGTCTGCCTGTTACTAATTATATTTATTTTCAAATGAGGGGGGCGGCGGGGAGGGGGATCTTCTGAAGATGAGTCAGAAAAAAACCCTTTGGTGTTATGAAAGCAGAGCCATGTCTCCCAAGGGTGTCTGTAACACGTGGCTGTCACCGCCTGACAACGGAAAACCTGAGCCGAGCCAGCTACACTGCTGAACACGGCGCAATGGCTCTCCTCGCCCCGGGGCCCCTCAAGTGGGCACCTGAGCAGCTGAAAGGCCTTCTCTCCACCGGAGAGCCCGACAGCTGGCTGGGCCTCCTCCCTCCTGCAAAGACAGGGCCATGCAAGCGTCTGCTGTCACCTCAACTGGGAGGCAGCGTTCCAGCTGAAACACAGGAAAGACTTTTTTCCTCATCAAAGGAAAAGCATTCTGCCCAGATGGCCGAAATGAAAAGACTTCAATTTCAATCCTCACACAGCCCACGATGTTATTTCTAACAACACCGTGAACACCTAGAAACCCAAGATAGTCACCCCCATGCCTGGCAGAAGCCAGCCACACTATGGAGGCCGTCAGAGCACTGGTCTGTCTGACCAGCCGACGCGGGCCACACACACACGTGTGCACTCCCCTCCGCGTCCGTGTGTGTGAAGCACACACGGGCGTTTGGGGCAGGGGTGCTCCTCGGGCCCCATCAGCTCCTCCGACTTTAAGGCGCTCGGCTGCCCTACCTTCTCGCCACATATACACCGTGGAGTGAGGAACAAAGGGGACCCAAGGTGACACATCCGCCCAGGGGAGCCGTTCAAAGCCATAGCGTTCAGAACGGGTTTTCCAATAATTTTTAAAATAGTCACACTTGTTTTTGTTTGCTTTCTTCCAGGAAGGCTGCACTGTTTTGGAAAAGGAGGGGAGGACAAAAAAAAGAAAATGTGAGTTCATTTCCTGAGTCTTTCAAATATTTCTCTGTAGACAGAGCACTGAGAAGCCGGGACCAGAGGGCAAGGGGGGCTCCGGGCGGCAGCACACCTGAGGTGCAGAGCGGAACTTGGTCCCTCCCCATGCTCTTAATGGGCCATCGGCGGGGAAACCAGATTCAGCAACAGGGGATGTGGAAGGACCTGGGGGGGCAGGCCCCCAGAAATGTCATTAAGGCAAGCTGTTCCTGGAATGGGTCTCCCTGTTTGTCCAGGCAAGGTTGGATGATTAACTCAGTTTATCTGAAGGAGGAGGCAGAAAATGGACCCTGTGACTGATAAATTAGGGACCCAGGAGGGAGTTACGGGCGCAGCCAACGCTTGTCAGAGTGCTTTTCACACATGCTATTTTACCCCACGAGCAGTGGCACTGTGCCCGTTCCACAGGGGAGGTTCTGGCGGGTACGCAGCGGACCCGAGGGCATCCTACCCTCTGCCCCAGACTAAGCCATCTTTCCCGGGTGGCTCTCTGAGCCCTCTGTCCCTTTCCTTCAGGGCTGTAGCTGGCATCATGCGCAAATGGCACTGCGGGGTGAGCTGGCCTGCGTCTGTCTCTGCCCCACTAGGATAAAAACTCCACGAGGACAAGGACGTGCCTTCTCACCGGCTTGTGTGGGACCAGCACAGAGCCGCGAGCACAGCAGCCCTGCCGTGTGTATCTGTCGGATGAGTGAAGGGATGAATGAATGAACCAAAAACTCCCACCTGAAAGGAGAAGGCCCAGGAGAGACGCATGGCAACTCCGAGCGTGCCAGCTGTGACACAGCTGGGTTCATTTTGAAACCAGCGGCAGTAGCCAGCCCACACTGAGCCTCCACGGCCAGGGGGCCCAGCTGCCGGGCCTGGGGCAGCTCTGCCCTTCCTGTCAAGGTTCTGTGCAGTGTGGGCAGGGCATGGACCCCCGGGCGGCAGATGGGGGCCAACACCCTTGGGACAGATGGACACTCAGGACCCGGGAGAGCTGCGCTTCATCCTAAAGGCATCCTGGCAATTCAGGGGCAGAGCCTGGAATCAGACCCGTCAGTCCTGCCCGTAAAGTCCCTGGTGGGCTCATGGATTGAAGCAATGATCTGGTTTTCAGAGCAATGGTCCCAGTTCCGGTTGAGCCACACAAAGATGACCCGCAGGCTCAAAGTTTCGGGGCCTGGCCACTGAGAAAGGCTCCCCGCTCTGCAGCCCGGCTTCCCCAGCTCTCCTCCGAGACCCCAAGGCAGACTCAGCGACAGTGAGACCGACTGAGGGAAAGAAAAAGGGACAGGACAGAAGGACATGTAAAAATGGGGACCCCATGAGGCAGGGGACCTCTGAAGGCTGATCCGCTGCTGTGTCTTTTATCCTGGTTCTACACACAAGCATCTGTAAGCGCTGTTTGCACCCCTGGCTTTGCCTTCAAACCAGGACTTCTGGGGAAACACAGGGCCCAGCCCTTGAAGGCTCCCAGCCCACCGATGATGCCAGGTGGGGAAACCCCAGCGCAACCCACTTCTGTGTGGCACAGAGGCACCCACCGGACTGTCACCACCCCGGGGTCTGCAGCTCCTCCAAGGAGATGGGAGGGAGCACTGGGCGGTCCCAGCCTCCAATGGCCAATTCCTCTCCTTTGCCTCTAACTTTCTGATTCTGCTGGGTTGAAGTTTATGAGAAACTGAATCCAGCCATTTCTAGGGGAAAGAAAAGTGAGGAGCTGGTATCGAAATCACCCTTCAATATGACCACATTCTGTTCCCGGGTCACACAAAGTAACTGTTGAAAAGCCTCCTTCCCTCTTATAGGTGGCCCTTTGGAGCCAAGGCACAAGTTACTCTGCTGCCTTGTGGGCATGACGAAGCATAACACAGCAGAGAAGACCCGAGATGCCAGGACCAGCTCGTGTGGGCTCTATCCCACCACCATGCTCTCCAAAGGGCCATTTGGCTCCAATGTATCATATGACTTGTTCTTAGAGTTACATTTTAACTGACAAAGTTTAACAACAACTATGACTTATGGCCTTCTAAAATTGGCAGCAGAAAAATGAACTGAGGAAGTAATGGAAAAAACCACAAGTGAAGCCACTCTGTATTATGCACAATTTCTGTTGTGTTTTTTTTTCCTTTCCAAGCGTGTGTGTGTGTGTGTGTGTGTGTGTGTGTGTGTGTGTGTTTTCGAATGGTAGAAAATATTTTCCAGATACACTGCCCTGGCTTTCCCAAGCACATATTTATGCCAAGTTTATAAAAAGCTGCTGCAGACAGGGTTGACCGAAAGGATTGCTCTGCTGTCTGGCTTCCAGAAGGTGCTTAGGTCCTCAGCCTGTCACCAGGACACAGACTTACCGCCTAAAACTCACCTTCTGCATCGTGCACCTGAAAGAGGACAAACCCACGGGGCGGCGTGACCTGGAGAGACATGGGGCCCCTGCTGTTCTAGGTGTTCACATCCCACTTTTGATTTGCAAGGTGCTTTGGTGACCTGTGCTTCATCATTTTTAGTCATTCGAAATCCCCACGCAGACACAAAAAGGAAAGTGTTTGGAGGCACATCTCACAAACATCTGGGTGGCTCAGGGGTGGGCGGCGCAGCGATGGGAAGGCCCATCAGCTTCACTTTCTGAACCTTCCAGAGCAGATGGTGGAGCCGCGTGGCTGAGCCCGTGTCAAACCGTCTGCATCTACTCGCGTTGGCCTGAGACTCCAATCCCCTCCCCTAGCCCCTGGATGGGTGAAGCTGCCCAGTGAGAAGCTCCAGCCTCCCCTGCACCGTGGAGGGACATCACCCTGGGACACCCTGAGCCACTGCCCGCCTGCACCCAAATCCAGACTCTCACTGGCCCGGGGGCGGAGCGTCCACTTGCCTCCCTCCGCCACCCGGCCTTAATGAGGATGATAATACCTAGCTCTGTGGCTTCCCTGGGGGTGACTAATTGGTTAATCCTGGGAAGGCCCTTTGAAGGTGGCAAGCAGGGTATTACTCATGGGCTTGAAGGCAGGCACCTGCCCCAGTCTGGGCCTGAGTCAGCAGAGAGACCTCCCTCCTGCAGGCAGACTGGGCGCTGGCCCGAGTCCCTGCTCAAGGTCAGGGTTGGCCAAGGGGAGGGGTGTGGCCAGCACGCCTCCATGGCCTGTGCCATGTGGGCCCAGAGTTTGGGAACCGTGTGTCATGGGCGTTTGCGTGGTTGAATAAGCCTCCAAGTGACTCCGCCAAAAGGGCAGCGTTACCTCCAGAATATCAGTTGAGACAGTATTTCCTGGTCATTGTTAAGGGAAAATGCTTTTCTCACAGCAAATTCCTCCCAAACGATGCCGTTTTTCTCCTTCCTCTGGAGGAAGGCGGGCTGGGGTGGTGCTGGGCAGCCTGGGAGACCTGAGGTCAGGGTGCCAGGGCCGGTCACGGCTATGCTGTCTCGTCTCCAGCTCCTGGTCTGCCCAGTCTGCTCCCCGCTCACATCTCCCAGGAAGAGGAAGTGGCAGCAAGAACTGGGAACCAGAGGCCAAAACCAGTGGGTGAAGGCGAGGGTCGCTCAGGACCACACGGTGGAGGGGGATTCTGACACGGCGGCAGCTGGGAAGCCAAGAACAGAAAGCCTTTAAGCAGCGCGACCTGATGCCAAGATTCCGCGCCCAGAGCCCGCTTCCCGCGCTCTGCACATTCCTCCCCCCTCCCTCTCTCCCTCCCAGCACCTTCTCCCAGTGACCCCTCTCGGCGCAGCCTCTGTGCACGCAGCACTAGTTTCTTCTTTGTTCTAGAACACAGGTCATGCGGCCAGAAGGATTGCAGGCACTTCTGCTTTCTCTTTTAGTTCCCCAGGTCCCTAAAAGTTTTTCACGGCCCTTTCTCCTTCCGTAGGCCGCCTGGAACCCTAGAGGCCTCCACAACACACAGAATGACAAAGATCCAAAAAGAGGATGGAAGGATGGGACCCTGAGGGCGGGAAAGAGGGCAGAGGGGCTACTCATCTTTGCAGGCAGTCAGGAATGGATGGGGTGCAGGGGGGGTGGTGCAGAGCAGAGGGAACAGGCTATGAAATGATCTTCCTCTGTTCTGTTTTGAAGGAGGTGGGTGGAAATGACAGTTTGGAGAGGATTAGAATGAGGGAAAACGGTTTCAGGGGAAGCAGCCTCTTTTCTCCAGTTCTAACAGTGCCATCAAGTGGCTTGTGCGAGCAGGTGCAGGGCAGAGCCTCCGGACAGCCCGCGCTGACCCCGTGGAGAGAGGAGCAATGGGGCTTTGCAAAGGGCACCCTGCTGATTGCCAGGGGCCAGCCTCTCGCCTCTCAGCCCCGTAGCCAAACACCTTTCCCGAGATCGGCCGGCAAGGAGGTGGGGGAGATAGCTACCCAAGTGTACCCTTAGTCACCCCAATGCATACGGCGACCAAGTTCACCAGGTTCCTGTATCATTTAGCCTCTGCCCACACACACTTGCATCACTGGGAGGCATTAGGACAGAAGTCATGGTCCCACGAGAGGCACAGAAGTACATTTCCAACCAAAGAAGTGGTCAGTGACCAGAGCAAGCCTGTCTGGGCCATCAGACCCTTGTCTATGTTCAAAGGAGAGCTGAGGGCTGAAGGGTGCTGGGTGAGACTAGGCAAGGTGAGCACACCTGGGGAAGCCTGGCAAGCATCCCTCAAGCTAAACTTCTGGCCAGGGACATAAGTCTTCTGGCATTTCACTTAACTGTAGTTGCATTCTTTTTTTTAACTCTGCAAATCAAAATCAATTCGCCTTGGAACTCTACAAGTTGTTTTTCTTTCTAAAGAGAGACATTTTACTGAAACAGAAGACTTTGCCAGCAGTTGTGTATTTGGTACCCGGAACCGAGCAGCAGATGGGGCAAGGCTCAGGGAGAACATCCCCCCAGGAGTCCAGGTGCCTGATGCTCGTCAAGGCCTAACACTAAGCTGCTGTGTACCTCTGAGGAGGTAACCTCAGGCTCTAGCCTCACTCTTCTGTAAAAACAGGGGACACAGCTAGAGCCACGGTTTTCAAAACACTCCTCAGCCCCAGGAGAGGCATGCCAGTTTGGTGGGACTTTGGCCACCATCTCCTTTACCAGAACAACTCAGCCTTTATCCATCTTTCATAGTTGGCTGTTAGGTAAGATCTTATGTGAACAAAGGGTTCCACAGTGTCATAACCACTTTTTTCTTTTTTTTTTTATCTTTTAGCCACGCCACACAGCCTGTGGGATCTTAGTTCCCTGACCAGGGATCGAACCCGCGCCCCCTGCATTGGTAGCACGGAGTCTTAGCCACTGGCCCACCAGGGAAGTCCCCGTCATAGACACTTTGGGGCACCTGCCCGGACCACGGCTCTCAGAATGGTCCACCCTGCCAGCAGAGCTGAGGCCCTAACACTCTCTGCTTCATGACTGCAGACCCGGATGAGGACTGACTGCACAGACACGGACACCTGCTCCTGGTGAGCCAACCTGATTCCCCTCCCCAGAATTTGAAACTGGGTCAGACTGGGTCCAAGTCAGTCTCCGTTAGAGCTGAAGTGGCCACTGGGGGGTGGCCATCTGGGATCATGGGATGGAGGAGGCCTGACAGCAGCCCCAGCTTTCCACTCCCCACCGTGCCCCGCCCTACGTTCCCCTGCATAAACTTCCCCGGTTAAAAGCTTCCAAATCTCTAGACAACACCCTCTGAAAGCTTCTTCCCGTGCCTAGGAAACAGCAAGATCACCCGGCCCAGTGCGATACACCTCATCTCCCCAGAGCCACATTCTGTCTTGGTTTGATTTTTTAAGGGAAGTTTCTAAACAGACTATGTAACCTTATGAACAAAAATGTTTACCAGAGCAGGCATATAATGACTCAGTAAGTATCAACATTATCATTACCTCTATTATTGATATATTCAAAAGTCCTTTATAAATCGGTCATATTGTTCCATTGCTATACATTTTAATTTCAAAAACATTTTGTCGTTCATAGCTCCTTGAACCACACCTACCGGTAACACTTTTTAAAATCTATTAATCCTGAAATCTTCCATCCGAGGACTTAAGTATCTGTAAATATGCTAGTTCTTTCATTCATCTATTTTCTTAGATGCTCTGAGATCTACCAAAGAAACAGATGACAAAAATCCCTTCACTAAGAGCTTACGGGGTAGGAATGAAGTAACGCCATTTGCAGTAACATGGATGGACCTAGAGATTATCATATTAAGCAAAGTCAGACAGAGAAAGACAAATATCACATGATATCACTTATATGGGGAATCTAAAAAAAAATGATACAAATGAACTTATTTACAAAACAGAAACAGACTGGGAGACTTTGAAAACAAATTTATGGTTACCAAAGGGGAAATGCAGCAGTGGGGGAGTGGGTGATAAATTAGGAGATTGGGATTAACATACACACACTACTATACATGACACAGACAATCACAGGGACCTGCTGTAGAGCACAGGGAGCTCTACTCAATACTCTGCAATAAGCTGTATGGGAAGAGGATCTGAAAAAGAATGGATATGTGTATAAGTATAATTGAATCACTTTGCTGTACACCTGAAACTAACACAACACTGTAAATCAACTAGACTCCAATATAAAATAAAAATTAAACTTAAAAATGGAATAAGAAAAAATTTTTTAATTAAGAGCTTGCAGGGTAGAATTTGAAGAAATCGTAATTTTAAGTGGGTATTTCCTAAATTAGGTTTTCTTGCATTAGAGAAGACCTGTGCCTTACTCCACAACAGATCAAAGAGTCACATATTGTCAGTTTGAGAAAAGGCTTTCAAGGCGCCCGTGTATTTGTCAAACCCTGGGCCACGACCTAATGGTGGACCCTGAAATCAATTTAGTGGATCAGAACCAGCATTTTAGATTTTTTAAAATTTTGTATTGAAATACAGTTGATGTGGGCTTCGCGGTGGCGCAGTGGTTAAGAATCCGCCTGCCAATGCAGGGGACACGGGTTCAAGCCCTGGTCGGGGAAGATCCCACATGCGGCGGAGCAACTAAGCCCGTGCGCCACAACTACTGAGCCCACGTGCCACAACTACTGAAGCCCGCGTGCCTAGAGCCTGTGCTCCCCAACAAGAGAAACCACCGCAATGAGAAGCCCGCGCACCGCAATGAAGACTAGCCCTGGCTCGGCGCAGCTAGAGAAAGCCCGCACGCAGCAACCAAGACCCAACACAGCCAAAAATAAATAAATTTGAAATACAGTTGATTTACAATGTTGTATTAGTTTCAGGTGTACAGCAAAATGACTCAGTTATACATATCCTTATATCCATTCTTTTTTTAGATTCTTTTCCATTATAGGTTATTACAAGATACTGTGTATGGTTCCCTGTGCTAAACAGTAGGTCCTTGTTGGTTATCTATTTTATATAGAGTAGTGTGTATATGTTAATTCCAAATTCCTAATTTATCCCTCCCCCGCCTCCCCTTTGGTAACCATGTTTGTTTTCTATGTTTTTGTAAATAAGTTCATTTGTATCCTTTTTTTAGATTCCACATATTACCGATTAGATTTTTGTTTTTTAAATTAGTGTGTGTCACATGCAACAAGGCTAAGTATTGTCACATAAAACCTGATTTCAGCCATATAAACGGATGTGCAGGGTGACAATGTCAAATGCATGTCTCACTGTGGGTTGGGGGGTGGCGAGGGGCAGGGGGATGGTGGGATGAGCAGAGTCCAGGAAGCCAGGCTTGAAATCCCCGGTCACTTTTGGTGGCGCTGGCGCTGGGCCTGGATGATGCGCACAGTCCAGTAGCCGTTATTCTTACAGATGTGAGGGCTACAAAGGTCCTCGCCCATCACCGCACTGAACCCCTGGCAGGACAGCGGTCGGTGGTCTCTGACAGCCATGGCCACGGCCACGCAATAGCAGAGAATCTACTTGATTAAGTGATGTTTTTATTTACATGACACAAAATAACCACTTTACCTGATTTTGTCCTTTGCAGGCTTGACAGAAGCTCAGGATTATTTGGGGCACAGTACAGGGCAGAATCTTGCTACTCAAAGCCTGGAACTGGGAGCTTGGCCTCACCTGGGAACTTATTAAAAGGAGACTCCCAAGCCCCATCCTGACTTAATGAATAAGAATCTGCATTTTAACACAGGCCCAGAGATTGGTGCATGCATTTAAAGTTTGAGGAGCTCCGATTCAGAAATGCTGGTCCACTAACTGACACCCAGCTTCGGTAGAGTTTTCACTGGTCCACATGAAAATGTCAGTGTGAAATTTGTCCTTTCTTGGCAAGAGCCATCTTCTACTCTGATTGTATTCCCTTCCTACTACTTTTTAGGCATAAAGTGTGCTTGAGGAAGTGAGACTGATTGTGATTGTGGACGTAGTTCTGTCTTGTTTCATGTGTTCAGCAGTCAAAAATAAAACTTGGTTACCTATGCCTTCCACGTTGTTATCATTTTTTCTAGCCCAGGTACCCGAAAGCCTGGGAACAACTAGCAGAAGTCAGAAGTGTGTCTTGCTGATTTCTGCGCCGTCTAAAGCAGAACTGGAAAGCACTATTTGTTCCACGTGAAGATGAGAGGTACAGCAGTGCTTGCCTTTCGTTCATAGTCTTGGAAACTCCAAGGGGTGCCCCCTCTGTAAGGAGCATCGTGCACTGCTCGCATGTAGACCCAGGAAGGCCGGCTTGCACGTGGCCTTCCAGATTCCAGATTCCACCGGAACCCAGGCTCGCCCACCCCCTCATGCACCCCAGGACCCCCCGCACGTCCACAAACTAGCCGATCGGTGTAAGAGGCCATGTGCTTGGGAAATGAGCCCCTCTGGCCAAAGCAAACTGGACATGAAGTCTTATAAACATGGCCCTCGCATTCAGACCCGCTTAAGAACCATCAGAAAACACCTGCATGACTGGAAACCGAAACATGCCTGGGTTTGTTTTCTCTGACATCCTCTCCTGAAAACTGGAGGGCCTGTTATGAGCAGGAACCAGGTAGAAGGTGAGGACATCATGCCACTCAGTAAATAGGAGTGACTTTCCTGAAGAAATGGAACACTGGGAGTGATTCTGGGATCCTCGGGAAGAAAAAAGCGAGGGCCTGGCATGGTGAGAAGGAAAGAAACCTGAAAGGCAAGCAGCATCCGGCCTTTGGGAGCCTGCAGAAGGTGGGAGCAGCCACGACCCTGCCCCACATTCTTGGACCCCGAAGCCCACCTCCCAGCAAAGGCTCCGGACCCCCTGCGTCCTGACCTGGCAGGCAGGCCCGCCCTTCCCCCAGTCCCGGGATTCTCAGCATTCCAGAGCCCGGCAAATAACAAAGGCAGTGTTTGTGCCATTTCAGAACAAGCTTGGAAACTTTTAAATGTCAAAATGAATGATGTGGAAAGACTTGTGGGAGCAGCGAAGAGGCAGAAGCTGAGCTGGGGAAACGGAGAGGCCGGGGGCGCCAGCGGGGCCACCGGTTAACACGTCTGTAGGGCTCCGACGTCTTTTAACAAAAGGGATACTCAGAAGCAGAGAAACATCTTGAGCTGTCACGAGAGCCAGTGATACGGCAAGAATGAGAAGATTTATGTGGTCCCGGCGGGGAAAGCTGGGTGCGTGGCATTCATTTACAGAGGATCTGCTGTCTGAGGGAGCAAGCCTCTGATGTGCACGAGGAAGTGGCAGAACTGTCACCCCAGCCGCCCCAGACCGGGGCTCTGGATCTGAGGACACACGCAACCTCGCTAAGGGCGGCGGGGGTGGGGGGTCCCATGACCCGGACGTTTCCCACATCGAAGGCCGGATTTGTCATTCGATTCCACCGCCCACGCTGGCCCCTTGACAGGACAAGGGATACTCTGGCCTCTCAAAGCCCATCATCACCTGGATGGAGATGCCCCATGCACCACAGGCAGGAAGCCAGGGCTCCAGCCCCACTCTGCCTGCCGCTGGGGGCTCTCGGGGAGGACAGCCACCTCCCTGACCTCAGTCTTGTCATCTGTGGGTAACAGGCCTGGGCTGGGGCGTGGTGACGTGCCCCTTGGACGGGGAGATAAAAAAAAAAAAAAACAGTGTAAAGTTTAACCTGCTGAATGGGAAGTCAGCCCTTATATTTCCACAGTGTGCTCCAACATCTGGAGTACTTTCATATACATTGTTTGGTTTTTTGTTTGTTGGTTTGTTTTTGAGGGGGCCACACGGCTTGCGGGATCTTAGCTCCCCGACCAGGGATTGAACCCGTGCCCCCTACAGTGCAAGCGTAGAGTCTTAACCATTGGACCACCAGGGAAGTCCCTAATATACGTTGTTGAAACCTCATAATAACCCTGTGAATTAGGAAGTCCCGTTTTACACATGAGGAAACTGAGGTCAAGAGTGAGATACAAGGTTCCAGAGAACCAAGGTCTTCAGAGCCGGTCAGAGCTCCCTCTCTAACCTCTGCTGCCTGTAGGAAATGTCGTCCGGGTAGGAGGTCCTGGGCAATCTCCAGGATGGGTCCACACGGGTGGCCCCAGCCAGGGCTGAGGACCGTATAAGCAGTGGGCATCTGGCCACTTCCTCATGGGACAGCTTTCCCATGCCTCCGAGCTCAACTATGCTCTCCTGCAAAAGCTCCCCTTTGCCTTTCCCTCTGGGAATGTCCCTCAGCTTTACTGACCTGTGAGCCCCAAGAGGAAAGGAACTGGTTTAGTGTTGATAAAAATCTGGAACACATCCCCCTCACCCGATGTTCCATGCCTGGCCCTTCCATCAGGATTCCTATCCTAATTCCTGCCGTTCCCACAAACCCTGCCCGGCCCCAGCTCATTCTCACCCTGGTCCCAGACCTGGTGGCCAGCTTCACCCCTGTTGGGACTGGGACTCCCCCACCACCCCCACGGATCACCCCCACACCTCACCCAGAGCCCAGGTGCCCACCTTGATGAAGACAGGAAGGAGAAGGGAGAACAGACCCTTGGGGCCCCTCGCCCTCTGTCACGTGTCACCAAAGCACAGCGAGGTTTCCAGGTCAAGACTGGGAACCAGGACGCAGCAGGCTCACCCCCTCAGAAGCAGTTGCTATGGAGACCAGGGCCTGGGTCCCTGATGCTGTCACCCTGCCTCTCTCTGCCTCCACCCCTCACTCACACACACCACTCAGATAACCAGGAACAACGGCTGAGCTCTGAGAATGCACCCCAAGGCCTCCACTCCACCCCCCACCCCCCACCCCCCACCAACCCAGCC